GTCAGCCACCAGGTATTCATGAAATTTGTCACAATATGGTATTATCATCGGACTTCCTGCGAAACTATTTTTCGGAAAACTCCATACACAAGAAGTTTTTATTTATTCACGGCACAAGAATGATTCGGACTAGTTTCACGGCTATTTCGCTAAAGCCGTCATCACTTAGTGAGTCCTTTGAAACATTTCTCGTCCCATTTGATGATCCCACATGGATTGGAATAATTGTCTCCATACTTGCAATATCTGGCGTCATAGCTGTTACAAAATTGCAATCAATTATACAGAGATTTGGGACGGCTTTATTTTGGTCGTACGCCTGCCTCACCGGGCAATATGGTGGCACAGGTGATATCTTGATGATGCTGCCGCGATCCGGACTCCAGACTTTTCACTTATACAGCAGTTTGCTTCTTCTTCCTGATTGGGGCCGAGTTTTATCAAGGGTCGTTATTATCCTCCTTGATCACTATATTGCCACCCGAACTTCCCAGCTCTACCGATGAGCTGCTGGACTTAAATTTACAAATAATCACAACCGGGACGCTTTATGGAGGTTATCACGGTGATATATCATCAGCCAAAGAAATGATGCATGAATACCTCAATAACCTGAATAATTCGACAAAGTTGTACAAATTGCTTTACAAGGTAAGGGCTAGATGTATGCATATTATGGATCATAATAGTTTTCTGGTTGGGACTCAGCTTGGAGATTCCCAAACGTTTTACTATAAGAGAAGTAGAACACGATTGCAAGAAACATTCGATATTTTGGATGAAGCTCCATTTGTTGAAAGTTTTATATCTGGCTTAAGGATCAAGAGAATATTGTGGGATAAATCATTTGACGATTTGGGTTTATTTTACGTCACGCCATTAATGATGGAGAGGACGTGGCTGTTTCCGATATTTTCAGTGGGAATAGGGCATCTTTGGCAAGCGGGACTTTACCAAAGGTGGCAAGTTTTGGAAGATAAAGCCTACTTGCTCCCTCATATTAGAAATACCGTGACAGGAGATCTGCTCAGAAAAACTATGCATCAACATCATGATCAAAGGTTAAGGAAGGACGTAAAATTTGAGGAGGCTAACCCCGTCTCCCAGCAAGCTTTGAAGACTATGTTTAGTTTGTGTGGCCTCCTCCTAGCAGCTGGTGCAGCTTTGTTTTTGGCAGAGAGATGCTCTCCCGTGCGTCACAAATTAAAGGGGTGGATTGTGGAGTTACTTAAAACTCGCCGTTGCTTTTGCAAATGTAAAATCAGATTTCTGAATCTGTAGAATCAGCTGCACTGTACAGCATGCCCATATGTGTTTGTTCGTCCGCGGCAAGGAAGCACTTTAACCCCTTGCTAAATACAAATTTCGGCCATCAGCATTTGTCTTTGTTTTATTTCCAAAGATGGTTGGAAGTTATTTATTCAAATATGATAACCAATTCAATATATATGTATATTTATACATACATATACATATTTAACCAACCTTATTCAACTATGTATATGGTAGTCACGTCCACTCGTACATATTTATGCATTTTAAAAATAAATGATAACTTGTAGGAATAACCTAACGGAAGGCTAAAATTGTAAGCTTTCAAAATCTTAAATATAAACGTTATTTATTTAATTTTCAAGGTTAAAGATGTAGTTATCAGTGAAACTCAAAGATCCTTCTCTCTAACACAAGTCTAATTTAGTAGTCATAACATTCACTAACACTCGTATAGGTATATGTGTGAGTGTAACCCTACTGGTATGGTACCCACGCTTACAGCTTGCCTAAGCCCACTGGGTGGCATACTTTACTTGCCTAACGTAGTAGTTAGGTTGCATTCACTTTTCTAAAATTAAACATGAATTTTGGGATTCGAGTAAAGTAGAAGAATTAGTCGCATAAAGTTTATTTTGGTGACAATGCAATACTACATTCCTACATACATAAATATATCCACTAAAAAGTCATTAATAAATTAATCGTGTTTTCCGAAATGTAACGAAGTGCAAGCATTTTCAAATCTTTGATAACATATCCGAACGGACCCACCTGGATGCCCAAACTTCTCACAGATTTCCACGTTTTCCTCTCAAATTTCGACAAATTTCCCCAATTTGTTCGACTGAAAATAAAATTTTCTGCATTCTCCACAACCCTGGCCGCATGCGGGATCAACATAATCACAAAACATGACGAAAAAAAGGCAATAGTAGGGAGACAGAGGTAAAGTAGGAAATTCATTTCCCCCGCCATTCGAATTGTCCCATAGTATGACAGGGTAACGACAGAAAAGCCGAAAAATATTAATGGCGGGACGGAGAACGTGCAAAAATTTTGATTCGTGTACTTATTCCATATAAACATTTTTTTGTATAGATTAACTTCCTGCAATCTCGTTTCCGAATTCGCGTTAACACTGGATTTGGTAAGGTCTTGGAGGATATCGTTCATCGAACAGGTAACCATCAGTCCCACGATGAAGAAGGCATTGATAGCTTTGGTGACGTCCAGGAAGATAATGAAGATTACCACGATTCTAACTAGGATTTGGAGGATGAAGTATCGTTCTTCTCTGTCACCTTCGAACAGTGCATAAAGTGGGTCAATTTTCAAGTAAGTCACCACAAATGGGACAGGGAATGAGATACTGAAGGAAACCCAGAGCATTAGTTTCATAGCGAGTTCAGCCACGTAGTAGTTGTAAGCTTGATGGGTGCTTATCAATTCTGAAATTTAATGATCAGAAAGTTGAAAACTTACAAATTCAGAACTCGGTAGTAATCGTATCTGTTCACGTTCATTCATACGACTGATTGTGAGAATAATAGTGAGTGAATATGAATTTCCTGTGATTTGAATGAAAATGAGTGAAAGATTCAGTCATTTCAGAAGAGTGACTATGAATGAAAGAATTTCTCACTGCTTCCATTTTCCACTCTAAGCTTAATACATGGGACGAAGTAAGAAATGAAATTAGATGAAGTGAAATCAAATAAGTTCGAAAGAAAAGACCGAATGTGAATAAGCTCTTCAGTCGGAAATCGGGATGACTAAGTTTTGAATGAAAAAAGTTTTTTGAACAGGTATGGTACATTCTAATCCCACATAATCCGTGTGAATTAACAGCCAATCCTATGCGAGATACAGAACTACCACGTTAATATGTAGTAAAGAATCTCGGCGAAATTTGGCGTCATTTAGCATCAACTTATCTGTGAATTCTTCACGATTATTTCGCCAGGATCCTAAATATGTACATGATTACCTCGCGCTTCTTTCTGGAATTGCGCAATACTGCTTACGATGACCTCCGCTACGACGGGGGTGAACGAGATGACATAACTCATCGCCAGAAATGTGGGTGGAAATAAGGTCGCTATTAATAGTACGTAGACACGAACCACTTGCACAGTTTCGGATGCCTGAGTCGAATCTGATCGTTCGGGTTTGATGAAAATCGGTAGGCATAAAATTATTAGCGATATCAGAGTGTGACAGAGAACAAAGAGGGTGCAAAACTTTAAGAAATAGCGCCGAGTTTTCGAAAGTTTTGGTTTAAGGAGCAGTTGTCTATTTGGAATTGATATTTTGTAGGGGATAAGACATAATTTGTTGTCATATAGGTTCAGAAATAGATCGATAAGTTTCCACATTCCGTGGGTGGCCATGTCTGATGCGTTCATGTGTCTCCTTGAAGGAAGAATAAATTTTATAGATACACGACTGCACAACAAAAGTTTCTAAGATTAATAAATTTAGAAGTTGGGCTACATATGTAAACTGTCCCAGGTTTTTGAGTTTTTCTCAATACCATACAATATTTAATCACAATCTAAATAAATATTTTACGTATTAAATTCTAGGGAATTACAACTCTAAACTCTGTTCGATATCTGGAACCGCACGATGGCCCATAATGTTCGAGGTTATGAAAGATTCATGAATTAAATTGAGAATATATGAGAAGCTTTTTGAGGGCGTCATTTGCGATAGATCTGTTTCTCGGCGTCTATCCATAATAAATATTAAATTATATTGGTGAATAAATTGTACATATTAACAAATATTTTGCTTCTGCATTTATGTATTTGCATGTCTGTCTGTCTATCGGTCGGTCTGTGTTTTGGGACATATGCTAATCAATGACCGCGAAGACATGCAGATTGGGAACCTTGAACGCGAATTACTTACGCAAATGAGAAGTTCTGATTAGAACTTTAGCTACAGAGATCACACGGGTCGAACGGGTTAAGAAAAGTCACTAATTGTATTGCAAACGAGAACTTTGACCCCGGAGTCATTTATATTTAATTATTTACAAATTTAATGAAAAACTTGACCCCGAATTCAACGCAGAGCTGGATATTAACAATAATAAGGTAAAAAGGTCGCAGGTTGACCCGTGACAGACTGCTTTCGACCCTTGGTTACCTGCGTTGTAGAAGTTTATTATATACAAATGTATGTGTACATGTACCACATTTGTGTATCTGAATATATGTAAATGGATTCCGAGTTTATTACTTTATTGGTAGAATTTTCTAATATTAAGAATACCTAGGAGATTAAATTAGACTAAGAAATAAGGTTAGAATCGAGTCGGATTAATCGATCCGATAAAAAATATATATTACTGACAATATCTTTATGGGTTCTGAACGGAAACTATAGTTTCCGTTCAGAATTATAATCAGAATTATAATCAGCTTTAATCATATTATTTATTAACGTTCACATTTTATAATTGGTAAAATGCGCTAGTGAGTATAATAAGGAGTAAGGAATGGGATGAGACTCACTGTAAACTGTAGAATCCGGATTTAAGGGCCAATGGTCAACGTTTCGAACCTTCGTTCTTCTTCAGGACCGGAGGGAGAATTTTTGGTGACTGCTCACGGGAAGAACCAATTTGAGTGTCAACGAAGGTTCGAAACGTTGACCATTGGCCCTTAAATCCGGATTCTACAGTTTGCAGTGAGTCTCATCCCATTCCTTACTCCTTCACATTTTATAAGACTTACAAAATGTCAATAATAATCAAACATAAGAATGTGAATATTTAGAAAATTTCTTGATTGGTTAAAATCACTTAGGAATATGAGAGTAGTTTCCAGGCAAAGTTGGTGCATATTAAAAATTTATGGACCGATAAGTTCTTCGGTAATGTGCAACTATGAATATTATCGTTTTGGATTAAATTTGGATCGATGCCCATTATATGAATCGTATGCAAATTAAATTATCTGGGCTCGGATGGATAATGAAATTTCCAAGGGTGGATTTGTAAACGACTTATTAATCCCATTAGGCAAAGACATTGTCCGTGTTTTCGGCCGTCCGTCTAACGGGGAATGGAAGAAGATATTCGAAATCGGTTTGCGGCATCATGGGGAAGATCCCTGCAACTGATTGGTGTCTGTCGATAATATAACAATGTTACAATGGCAATGTGCTGCTCCAGAACTTGCTTAACTTTAAATTCCTTTCCGCAAAGTTTGCACTCAAATCGGACCAGATTTTCGGAGTGCACCCGCACAAAATGTTTTTTAACTTGGGCCTTTGTCAGGTAACTTTTATCACAGCCGGGGGATCCGCATGACACCGGGGGCTGATCCAGGCCCTTCTCATGGACCGTGGCTTTATGCACCCGTAAATTGCGGGGTGAGGAATATGTCTTGTTGCAAATCTCGCAGGCTGGTCGGACCAGGGAGGTGTGCATGTTTGCCACGTGCTTTCTCAGGTTGACGCCTTTCACCACCTTTCCGCAAGTCTGTATAAAATTAAGTAACTTGGATTAATCTATGTAGTAGGAACGTCCATATATCACGTCGTAACGAAAATCGCTAATTTTAAGACCATCCACCCACCCAGTTGAGGTGAGCCAAATACTCAATTAAGCCGCATGCTCGGCTCGGCAGAGGTTCAACTGAGCTGAGCGAGTCGAGCTTTTTCGAGCTTCTTGGAAACCGAGCTTGAGCGAGTCGAGATTTTTGGGACCTGAGCTTGAGTGAGTCGAGCCATTTGAGAACCAAGTTTGAGTGAGTCGAGCTTTTTTGAGGTTTTCGGGAAGCGAGCTTTAGCAAGTCGAGCTTTTTTGAGGTTTTCGGGAAGCGAGCTTTAGCAAGTCGAGCTTTTTTGAGGTTTTCGGGAAGCGAGCTTTAGCAAGTCGAGCTTTTTTGAGGTTTTCGGGAAGCGAGCTTTAGCAAGTCGAGCTTTTGAAAACCGCTGCTCGACTTATCTCTTTTTACCCACTTCATCCTCATCCTACTCATGTTATGCCTAGCACGACTGGGACAGGTGACCCAAAACCATCCTACTTACTTTTTGATGACACAATTCATATATGGATGTTCTCAATTAGCATAGGATTTATTTTATACGTCACAAATATAGTTTTCCGTAACCTAAAAAATAATTTCCCCAATGATGAAATGTTCACCAGGTTCAATTCTTTTACCTGACCATAATCATTTACATAATCAATGAAACAAGTATGTAATAGTGATTTGAAAGGTGTCGTTTAACAAGGAAATAAGAAAGTCAACTACTCCAATAATCCAATTCTACATGTCCGATTGAGATTTTACGTCATGAGAGTCATAAAATCGATTTCGTCACAGCTTGGATATTTGAATTGAGTATGCTTTTTGAAATTTTGTAAATATGTACTTATCTATAAAAACTTACTTCACATTTAACTCCAGCGATGTCATCATGTATACGTACGTGTTGGTTGAGAGGGGTCTTTGTTCGGAAAGACTTTTTGCAGTGGCGACACTCGAGGGCGGCCCGCCTTTCGCCGACTTTTTGCATTGTTTCGGCTAGAACGATTTGATCTGAGTATGTATTTATTGTCGTAGCACAACCCTGAATAATATAGTTACACTCTTATATATTGTATATGAAACTTGTACTATACAAGACCGGAGTACAAATTACTTCACCGGCACGGTATTAAGTATACACGGTAGTGTATGAAATGTTGTGGTTACGAAGAAATTACAACTATCTAAGAAACAAGCTGCTACCAATCTAGTAAATCAGTAATTTCCAAGTCAATACCCGTACGGAGTAACTATCTGACTCTCCGATTTTTGATAGATTATTTTATTATACATGCATATATTTTATGTAAGATATCTGTAATTTAAATTTAATTAAGTATAATTGAAAAAATACGTTTGTAATAAGGTTGCTTTCCTCTGATTCAAATAAATATGTTCTGCAATACGAATACGTTAGCAGATATGTAGGTACACATATATATGTATGTACAAACATAGGTAAAAATGGAACTGGCTAAACATTCCTTCTGATGGAAGGGTGCATTTTACATTTTAACAGGGCAAACTCAAGAAGAACTATGTAGGAATATACGTGCAAGAAAACACCTTCGTTACTATGCTGGACCGAAACTCACTGGCTGGTTTGAAGTGGTTGATTATTGTTAAGAAGGGTTGGAAATGGTTGAAATCATTGGTTTCGCCGTGTTTGAAAGGATGAAAATACAATTCCTTTCTAATTGTGTGGTTAAAAATTTTCTCGACTCCTATTCAGACCTCAAAAAGCAGCATTTATTCTTTTTTTAGACTATTAGTTGGTTCTAACTAACAAGTAATGGTGTCTGCTGAAGCTTTAAACATCAACATAAAAATAATTAATGAAACACAACGCAAACGAAATTTATATGCTAAAAAATTCGTACCGATATCAATTTAAATGTGTCCAAGCACATCAAATTTTTGGAAATTTGATATCAAATCAAATTTATGCATAAACCTAGAAACTCAACAGGTACGGAAGCCACATGAGTCTGAAGCTAAGTGATAAGCGGGAATGTTCAAGGTTCACAAGAACGTTCAAAAACAATAAAGCCTTGACCAGGCACGTGGTCACGCACAATTACCTCGATGCCAAGATCGAATGCGATGTGAGTGTGCAATTGGGAAAAATGAGATTAAGCAACTTGACATTAAAATTTTTTCGCGTGTACAGCTTGGGACGGTGCAGAAAGAATGTGATCGATATAGGGAGTAGGACTCGGAGCATCGTATCCTTTCCATGTAAATTACAGCATGGAGCATATGCCTCGGTCATATCGGGAGGGTATGGGATAAAATTCCACGAAAATATATCGCCTTCTTTGTGCACAGCCCTTATCGTCATGCTGCTCCGACCAGATTTTTGTTGGCCTATCTCAGACGTGTTTACGATCTGAATTCTGAATTCTGAAATGCCAGACTTTGGCAGTCTGGCATTTACCAGAGGTGGGCAGAGCTGGAAAATAAAGTACGCTTGCTTCCCCAAATTGAAAGTAGCGTGAGTGGAGATTTGCTTAGGAAAACAATTTTTCAACTCCGTTCCAAAAGGTTAACGAAGGCAGTGGATTTTGATGAGGCGAATCCAGTTACCCTAAAGGCTTTGAAGAGTATGTTTAATTTGTGTGGTTTACTACTTATTGCAAGCCTGGCTTTGTTTCTTGGAGAGGGATTCGTTCCCGCACGTCGTAGGTTAAAAAACTGGCTTGCTTATGCTCGAACCGTCTGGTTTCGCGTCAGAACACTAAGGAAATGCAAACGAAACCAAAAGCGGTTGAAGTTAAACCTAAAGTTTGTACCCAAAATTAACTTGATCAAATTATCAAAGTAAGTTTCTCGCGATTATAGACATTTAATTAAGAATTTCATCAGTACATTGTTTTTAATTGTTTGAGGTGAAATAATTACACTTCTTGTAAGTAGTAAGATTGGAGTGAAGGAGAAACGTGCAAGTACCTACCCAGCTCTTAATTTTTCAAATTGTATGACTAAACTAAATAACATAATATAGGAAATTAAATAACATATTTTTTTCCAAAACTGCAGTGACACTTTGGTCGTTTTTGTCATCACAAATACGCCAATAAATATGCCGACCAATGCATTCATCAATACAGGAAACAATAATTTTAAGGTTATACTTTTACCTAGGGTGGCGCGTGTCACGTTACAAATAATGCGTCGTGTAATTTCAAACTCAGATTTTATTAAAATAACGGATGAAAAATGTTTAATCCAATGGACTACAGATAATTAAGAATTACAAATCTACTGAAATTATGTTTATTCTGCAGTAAGCAAATAATGTGTAAATTGTTCTTTTAACATTTAATTGAGCAATTTCTTAGCAAAGTGTACCGATCTGGTACAACAAATTTAGACCCCTCTTTTGATCCGACAATGTCGTAGAGCATTTCTGTGACCGTCAATAAAGGGGCCAACGGCAACGGCAGAACTCCACGAATCCAATATAGCTTCGTATGGTGCAACGCTATCGTGAAGCCCTATTGCTCGGTACAAATGAATAAATACGGAGCTTCAACTCATTAAAATTTTGATATAATTTATAATGTAAAATTTCTAGGTAGGGAGAAAGTAAATGCAGTAAAAACAAAGTAACATTAGTCGTGAGCATGACCCAAAAATTGCTCCATCCTCGTGAAGCTGTAAACCTCACCTCTTTTTTATGACCACTTCCTCTGGAAACTCCGACTCTGGAGGTATAACGAAGGAAAAACTCGACAAACAAAACTTTGAAGGGCGACATCCCCACACCCTTCCCCGCAATCGTGTAAAACATGAAATTAATAAATTACAAAAATGTGCAGAAGAGTCAATTTTGCATAGAATTATGTAAACCATGAATCCGAATCATGGTTTACAGCATTACATATAGCATCACCATATTTACAAGAACAACGGAGTTTTCACCGGTTTTGAGTTACCAAGTTAACAAGTTTTCAAGTATGTACATACATACTTAAGAAAATTTGGGACGAATTAAATCTACACCCTTTACATATGTATATGTCCACATCCTATTTAGTATCAACTAAATTTTTCATTAACGTTGTTGTGACTCAATTTACACAAACTGAATGATTACTATTCTCTGGTCAATCATTCTTGTACATATCTTTTGAGCAGAAATCCAGCATGCCTATGTATGTACCTTGGTGGGTGGTTTACGTTGTGTAACCGACATCTACTTACCGACATTGGTTTACCGACGGATTATTTACACACCAATTATTTACCAACCTAATTATGTACCGACGTAATTATTTACCGACTAATTATTTTCCGACGAAATATTTTCCGACCTAAATATTTACCGACCCAATAATTTACCGACGTAATGCAATAAATAGACATATTAAGATCAGAAATCACAGTAAACATGGTGAAAATCGATATCTAGCTTCAGCCGGGCCTGAAAAGTGTGTCGCTAGTAAAATTATCCCATGTCGAAAGGGAACGATGTCGTCATGTCGAAATTTCGACATGGTCGTAGAGATTTGAAATTCATAACCTAGACTCTTCAACACTTCAAAATACATATATCAACACTTTTGACCTTGTCGACAACCAATTTTGACCGACATAGACTTTGTAATGTTGAAGTTCCAAATGGCTCGTCGACATGACACGACCATGTCGAAATTTCGACATGACGACATCGTTCCCTTTCGACATGGGATAATTTTACTTGCGATGCACTTTTCATGCCCGGCTGAAGCTAGATATCGATTATCGAAAGTAGGCCTTTTTATCTTTTCGCCAAAGTTAAATGAGAATAACTTATCGGTTTATCGACCGATTTGGTTGAAATTTTTACTAAAGGTGTGTAATCGCTTGGGCTACATATTTCACCTGTGGGATTGACCATAAACCCACTAGAAAGAACCTCGCCCAAAGTGGTTGTGGCTGGTCAATTTTTTTATGAACACGTCCATGGTCGCCTGGGGCTCAGAATATGCAAAAAATATTATGAGAAAAGTGTTCGTGGATTTTTTCCTCTAATTTGGCCTTTTAGATCATTAAACTATAATTGCGGGCAATGCCTAGCCATTGAACTATTTACCATTTTACCATTTTGGCAAAATGGCGCATTTTGCCGGCTTTTAAATGCACATATCTTTGCCAAACCTGAGCATTTACAGATATTGCCATTTGAAAGCTGCATATTAATTTAATGTGTGACCGATTGACAGTAGTATTGTCAAAATCTGTGGGCATACGTTGGGAGACCTCCATGCTTGGGAAAACCTAATCTGCTAAAAGTATATAAATATCACTAAACTCATGGATTCACGGCAGAAATTTGGTACACTTTAGCACATAATTTATTGAACAACGTTCAGCTTTAGGATAGTTGAAAATGTCAACCCTAATCAGATATGAAGACATATGGCAAACAAGTCGGTGTTATTTAAAAACGACTTTCAGAATATGACCAAGGTTTCGTAGGATGGATTAAAAATGTATTTATTTAAATTACCAGCCCCCTCAAACCTAGAGTTATAAGTCGAATATTTTTGAGGGAAGATTCGTTATTCTCCTCCTTAATCGTAACATTACCATTGAAACTTTAGATTAAAAATCGGTTGCTCGCAATGAAAAAGGAAAGATGCACTCTTACCATCCACACAGTAGAGATGGAAGATTGGAAAAATCTTTATTTTGAAGCAATAAGAAATTTTCATCCTCTATGTTATTTAATTGTAAGTAAATTTTACGCCAATTTATATGTAGTATTCCAGCGCAAGCAGAGTCAAACAAGACTCCGTGACTTATTGTACATAGTTATTTATGCATTACGAAAATTAGTTTTTACAATGGGTCGTAAGGCTTTTAGAAATATTGGATTTTCAAGATATGTACAGGGTAAGGAAAACCCCGGGGTTTTGCTGTTCGAAACCCATACCCAGGGGTTTTACCTGGGTTTTGCGGGTAGTCGAGGTTTCGGGGGTATTCAGGGTAGTCGGGGTTTTTAGGTGTGAACTGAGTCTGTGTCTCATGTATTAGCTTTGAGAAATTAATGGAAAAAATCAGTTTTTAAGTAATTTCGCAACAAAGGCGCTTATTAATTTAATTTTCATAACTATTTAACCTTAGAATTATTACAATGCCTTGTTATAATACTTTCTTAAATTGGAAAACCCCGACTACGCTGACTACTCGTGGGTATTTCTCAGATTTGCTACCCGTTAACCCACTAAAACCCACAAAACCCCAAAAACCCGGGTTGCATACCCTGGATATGTACATATTATTGTAGGTATTCTACGTGCGTAACTAATCATAAACCATGTATTTAATACGCTATACATTTTAGTAATCATACATACCTTAGTAAATAAAAGCCCACCAGCCCCAACTTTTCTCGACCA